TATTTATGAAAATCTCAAAATATCAAATACTAAAAGTTGAGAAGGAAAAGATCCAAGCGTATTGTGCGATATCCCCGATCGGTAATCCATAGAAGACCATAGCGACGTCGTCTTCTCATACGTCAAATATGTCCAATCAAATTATCTAGGCCGACACCGGGTACTTCCGCTAGTAAAATCATATGTTATATCATTTTTTCAACCATTCTTTTTACTAAATGCATCTCACATGCATACAGAACACAAGTTTGTTTAGGAAAAATCATCAGTAATTAGTCTGCATCTAAAAAATCACTACCAGCTGGATTTTCATCGTCTTCATCTTCATCCATTAATTCGTTTTCCAATTCATCCGCTATTATGTCTGTTGTTTTGAAAGTATCTTCATGTTTTTTAGCATGTTCAAAGTATGAAAGAGCATGTTCTGGACCCACTGTTGCTAGGCATACATTGGCTAACTGTCCAACATCATTGAGACTAAAGCGAACATTTTGACTTCGTACATAACTCTTAAGCCCAGCTCAACAAAGTTCGATAGGATTCAAGACACAATGCTTCACGGGAAGACGAACGATTTCAATATCGAACTGTTTTGCTGCTTTATCGACCATATGTTCCTTTGGTGGTAGATTCTTATAAGCAATCTCTAATAATTCTGCTTTTGTCATAAATGTAACAAATTTAAGTTTTTTCGAAATAAGCCAATCGGCAATCATTGGTTTTCTCCATGCCCGTTTGGGAGCTTCACATTCAGGAGTTAACTTATTGTTCCAGGTGTCATTATCGATAATTATTGCTATCTTTATTCCCTTTCCATGTTCTGCTCGTAATGTTCCAACAGCACTCGTTACCCATTCGGTGAAATGTGTACTGTCCATAGTGTGAAGTTCGTCACATTTAAATATATCCAAAGGACAAAAATAAAATCCATTTAAACTGGTCATACCACTGATCGCTAATCTCTGTCCTTTCCATGTTTATCAAACCGACAAAAAGCCACCAATTAACCGCGGTTAACCGTCCGGTTTAGTGTGCGCTTTACCATCCGGTTAATTGCGATTAACCGCCAAACCGGCAAAATCCTGCGGTTAACCACTGAATTGTCCGATTATTTCTGGTTAACTGCGATTAATTCACGGTTTGTTTTTTGCTGAGCAAACAGTATCGATTCAAGTCCAGGACTGAGCTACTTATTTATTTTCTCTTTTCAGCGAAATGCACCACGCACAGTCACTTATTTTCAATTTTTCTTTTATTAAGTTACTTCTATGAAAAAAACTTTCAGAAAAACTCCATGGAAAAACTAAAGTGTCAAAGCAGTTGTTGTTGCCAGATTTATTCATTGTTGTGTTGGTATGATATTGTTTGCAGCTGCCATCGTTTGTCGAATAATTTTTCCTTTTATATTACGACGTTTTTGTAAACATAATTCTCTCAATGCTGATCATTGTTCATTCATTGTATTTCCATCCATTTCAAACCTGGCTCGAACACTTTCTGGAAGAGCAAAACGATATATATAAATGATGAAGACTACAGCAGCGGACTCTAGAATAAAACTATTATTGAAGGACTTTTCCCTTAGACGCCGAATAAGATCAGTTTTCTTCTAGATCTTTGGAAAATCAGCTGGGATTTCTAGAAACCGATATAACAATCTGTCGTTCTTTTTTCGTAGATGGATAGTCAAAAGTATCCTCTACAAAATAAGATGTAAGCACAAGTTTGGTTTTGCTTGGTTCGAACGCTACGGACCATTTTCCAAAGCCTTAAGACTTCTCTGTCGTTAGTCAACAACCTATGTTTTCATGGATTTCTGACAGTCTAAATCTAACGACAGAGAAGTCTTAAGGCTTTGGAAAATGGTCCGTAGCGTTCGA